TAAAATAGAATGTGTATTTATCGGCTTAACAAAACATAATAATTATTCATATCAAAATAACAGATAATTCATACACCAATAAATACGTTTCAAAATGTGTATTTATGAGTTTCTCTGAACAATTTAGTGTACAGTAGCTCATATCTGAAGTAGTCATTATAAAATACAGTCAATTTCTCCAACATTGTTTTTATGAAACTGTCATCTCTGACAATTTCTATGACTTCCAAATCGACAAATGTATAAACAACAAAGTGACGTTTTTTCCTGTCCGTACACAACAACTGTTCTTGTATCTGGTAATAATAATCATGTTTTGAATCGAGCATTAATTTTCCATTAACATTCTTTAAATATGGAATGGTGATTTCTGAAATGTGATGGTCTCTAGATATGTAGGGATACTTGATTTCAAGAACTGTGTCGTTGTCCAGAATACAATCAGGGGAACTTGCAATAAAGTTATGATGCTTACACACAAATAGTCCACACGGAATCGTCTCCACATCATGGCGTTCCTCATACTTCAATACTGCGATGTGTTCGTACTTGCATCCATGTCGTGTTGGAGCCGAGTCAAACTTCACTGGCACCACAAAGGATTTAGCCAGCTTCCGCTTGTCTGTGCGCTCGGTCAGTTTACAGATACGTCCGAAATGCGACGAAGTTAGTCGTTTAGATCTCTCTGTCATCCAGCTCTTGTTGCCATTTTGTCCTCTGGTGGACTTTTCAATGTCAAAGATTTGTACTTCCGTAAGCTTGGTGACGCCAATGGATTCGAGAAAGATTTCTTCTGGATGAGTCTTCAGGTAGTCATGATCATTTGAAATAGCAAATATGTTAGCTGGAGGTATTGTTTGTAGGATTGGCATCGAAATGGCTGTCGATGAAGCAGATCCCGATGCTTGGAAGTTGACACATAAATTGTTCACAAAAGAAGGGTATGAATCATTGCATCTCATTTTCTCTGGTCTTGGGTCAAAGTTGAGCATTTTGGACAGTTGGCGCCCCTCGCCTGCATCTCGAAGTTGTAGCTGCGACGCTTTCAGCGGAGATCCTCGGAAAGGTTTGCAGTGATGGAAAGTTTGCAGTTTTTGTGTACAGGTTTCCTTCGTGTCAAGTACATGGGTGTCTGAGAATGATACAAGGGCAAACAAGACACATTTAACGTGTTTACAGTGGGCATCAGGTGCCCTCCCGACTGCACACTCACACTCAGTTTCCAAGATTGCACCCTCTGAGTCGATCACAACATCAACGGAGTATGCCACTTTCTTTTTCATTTCTGCGGCTGCACTTGCCAAAATGTAGTATTTGTCCTTATCTGCAGCTGCACGTACATTCATCAGGAACCTTTCTTTATACAGGGTCTTGATCTTCTCACTGAGCGACGTCTGGAATGGGGCGAGATATCCCTCAACTGACTTTTTTAGGCAACTGCAAACATAAATTTTAAAATTAAGATATTTCTCAAGAATGTATAATACATTTATTTACAAATTTTTAATATATTTAATAACAAAATGTATTTAAACTATGATAAATTTTAAACTGCTTCACAGACATTATTTAAAAACAATACAATACTGAATATTGAGAACTTTTGAAGCCAGTAAATGCCACATATTTAATCAGTTTTTATTAATGCCGTCACGATAAGGGAATTTGTGTAGTAGGGCTAACTGGTTAATCGTGGATCTGCAATCGTACCGGTACCGATTAATCGTTATAATTCAAAACATACGAAGAAATTAGTGCGGCCTGACAACAGTTTTCTGTACAAGTTTACAACTAGACAAGCGCCCTTACAACATGAATAACAAGTTATCCTGTGCATCGTGCACGTACTTTCACTATGTTAAGGGGACAGTAGCCTCTAGGATTTTACTGCCTACAACTGTACTTGCTGTATAACAAATCGTCTATACCCACACGTATTTGTTACCAGATACCTAATTTTATTGTTATAATTATTTACACATCAACGCAACGAAATTTGAACGGCGCCATGACAGCCGCGACCGTGCTGCCACCCCGAAAAAGTTGCGTATTTGACAATTTATTTTGCAGGTTACAGACCGAGGGCTAATCACAAAAGTGCAATTATATTCATACCTAAATGCTATTTAACCAAACGATATTCATTTTAGGGCAAATTTATCCATATTATAACTGAAACTACATGTCGTTTATAAGATATTACAATCCTTTTGCTTTTAAATGAATAAATGAGAAACACCTTCGGTCTGTAGCCCTTGGTTGGAAAGTGGTTTTGCGCAACTTATCAGATCGTGCGCTTTGAGTGGTGCCACCGTCGTTGTAATCAAACTGTAGTCGTTAGTTTTAAAACATTTTTTTAAAATATTTCTAATGGTGATTTAACCATGAAACTTTTTATGTAGCGTAATTATAATCTAAATTAGCTGAAAATAACCCTAGAACCTAGAGTAAACTCTCCCTTTAAGTACATGTCAAGCAGGTAGAAAATGCCGACCATCACAAGTACACTGTTACGCACACTTTGCGTGCTGACAAGTTCTGGTGTGCCGACATGAACTATTGTCTTCGCCACAGGGCCCACTAATGATCATGGGAGCATTCTTGCTTGCTTGTTTCTCAAGGATGGAGTCAAGGTTCTCGGTGCCCTATCAATGAAATACATAATAAATAACATATTATGAAAAACTAGAGTGTGTCAAAACACAAATTTGTGTGGTAACATAATTAGGTGCTGGAAATTTCATGAAATTTGCTTACCTACCACAAAACATTCCATATTTAAAGAATCTTTCGCAGGACTCACTGTCAGCAGCCCCCCAGTCGTTAGTGCACTACTGATTTCTTCCTGCACCTGCTCCAGAACAATTCGAAGCAACTCTCTGTGGCCCGCCCATATCCACGCCTGCTTTGTCGAAGAATTGTACCCTTAAGGGACACCTGAGCTTCTCTCTGCAAACAAAGTTTGTTGCAACATGACTGCTATGCATGGATTGTATTTATAGAGCATCATTGCAATTTCGGTTGAACGAGTCGTAGTCCAATAAATACATGTGATTAAATAATCCACACAAGTATGCAAATATTAACTAAAAGCAATATTTATTTTGGTGAGAGTATGTACCCTTTGTAAAAACCTACCCACAACACTTAACCCACGCAGCTGTATACCTGAACAATCGGCGTCCAGCTGCTTGCATGGCATCTTCCAATATGCATGTGCGCCGCACGTACAATCGGTTGCTTAGGGTGCCGTCCTCGTCCTCTCAACACTCCTCGTCGGTGACAACCAATATGTGGTTGTCAATGTAAACCCTGCTCCAGTTCTTTGCAGTCAAACAGTCAGACAGAGACATAGGTAGTGTTTTACGCTGATCGTGCTTTTAATGTTTACTAGACTAACGGTAGCCTATCAGCAGAACATCATTACAGTACAGTGTGATCAGATTCAGATATATCCGGTCGGGATGATCAGCAGTGATCAACAGTGATCAGATTCAGATATATCCGGTCGGNGTATAAAATGTATATAGTTTTTCCAAACGTTAAAAACAATATGACACGGTTAAACCTGAGTGGTGCGACGAGGCTGTACTAATGTTTGCATGACTAGTAAAGTAATACCACACGACGTGCTTTGCAGCTACAGTGACTTATGTGTGTTAAAACTTGAGACAATTATTTTTATTTACTGTATAATTCAACATGATATATTACCTAAATCTTCTTAATAATCTTTTTAAAACAGTATACTGATCGTTTGTTAACCTTTTTGCTAAATATAATGTGACATTGTGTAAGTGTAAATAAAGTGTTTGATTTGAATTGAATGAATTGAATGAATTGAATTATATCCTGATAGTGTGCTTGCTGTATATATTTATTTATTTATTACAACTAGTAATAGTACTTGTGCAGATAAGGTCTATGTCTCCCTGGGTACTGCCGGAACGTACCTTGGCTACGGTCCGGTATACCGGAACCTACCCTGGTAACCATCTGATAGGGTTAGGGTGTAGGCGTAGGCGACTCTCTAGAATCGTTAGTGGAGTAGGCGATGTACGGTCAGGCATATTAGATGGTACCAGGGTACGTTCCGGCAGTACCCAGGAAGATAGATACAATAATGTAACCCAAACCCAAGAGGATAGGCCCTAGAGGATAGACCCTATCCTCTTGGGTTTGGGTTACATTATTGTATCTACCAGGAAGACAGTCCCTACTGGCAGTACTAGAGGTACTAGTAGTAGTAACTAATATAAATAAACTAGTATTTATTTATTAGTTTAATAGTTATTAGTAGTAATATAGTAGTAGTAGTAGTAGTAGTAGTAGTATATAGTATACTTATACTATTAATAGTTTAATAGTTTATTAGTTTAAACTAGTACTAGTACTAGTAGTAGGCCTAGTAGTATTATAAACTATTATTATTAATTTAAGAAAATTAGACAGTTTTATACAGCCGGCAGAAATAACGTCTGGAGTTTAATACATTTTGTTAAATTAAACAACTTAAATATCAATTATGTATGCGCTACAAACGACGTAAAAGTAAAACGATGGCATATGTCACCCGATAATATGTAGACCTACACACAAACTGCACTGCAGCTCAGACTCGACGACCGATGATTTAGTACCTATTTTAACCATTTACTTTTAGTGATTTACATTGACTTATCATTTAACATTTATGTTACTTACGCTGTATTAATGCTTATGTAGTAAATGCAACATACCTGTAAGACTAAATGTCGATTTACTACAGTTATTAATGCATTATATATAGTTTAGTTTATTAAAAAATCACCTGAAATACTGTCCTGTCTGTATAGCAGTCACCAACCCACGCCTCTTTCTACGCATAAACATGGCGCCGCAGCGGTGGCGTTTCACTTCTCAGTATATATTGTTCTCAGAGTACGGTGGCCCACAGGTANGACTAAACAAATAAACGATGTACAACTATGACAATGAGCGGCTCGTATAAAAATAGTTCCGCCGCAATCGCTAGGGCGGCGGCACTAGCGGTCCGGTCCAACAAAAACAAGTGTCAGTGACCGCAATGAACACTCAGTCAATGGCAATTGACTGTTGACAGATAGACAATTGCGAAAAAATGCCGAAAACACAGTGCTGTGTGCCCCAATGTGTAAATCGTGGGGGTTTTCAGTTTCCAAGCACAACGAGGGCTGATAGTATTAGACGGCGATGGATAGTTGCAATCAAGCGAGTTGATGTTGAGAATCGAAATCGGCTGTGGAAGCCGACAGCATCAAGTGTGGTCTGTGTCGATCATTTCAACGATGAGGACTTCGTTAAAACAACTTATCATGGTATGCATCGTCTCTAATGATTCTATAATGAATGATGATAATGACAATCAAAACTGTAAACTCAGCATGAGAATGTAAATAAACATTGTGATATTGCTATAGTTTAGATGAAAATGAAGTGTATTGCATTGTAGTGTATGTTTCACGGACTTGTTTATAACAGTGTTGTTTCTAGCATCTATAAGAAAGTTTCTTGGGACTAGTTTTCATCGTGATTAGTAGCTCCAAGAAACGGTATTGCTAGGGTTAGAATACCGGTGAATACCGGTTAGAATACCGGTCAGGTTACGTGATTAGTAGCATAGACATAGTGGTGTATTGACGTTAGTCACACAGCCTGGTCGGGTTACGTGATTAGTAGCTCCAAGAAACGGTATTGCTAGGGTTAGAATACTGGTGAATACCGGTTAGAATACCGGTTAGAATACCGGTCGGGTTACGTGATTAGTAGCATAGACATAGTGGTGTTTCAAGACTTGTTTATTTAGTGCTAATCTGGTAGATGCAAAGAGTGCAAGGGGTCTATACTATAGTATAGTTTCAAAGTTAAACAAACAAACATGACAAATAAATATTGTTGCTGTGTATAATCTGGTGTAAATAATTGCATGTGTAACATGTTTAAAGATTATGATTAGGCCTATTATAAACACTGGTATAATACGTGGCTAATGATTATTTATATTTATTTTTTCCAGGCACGACACCCTTGAAGCGGCAGCTCAAAAAGGACGCCGTTCCATTCCGCTTTCCATGGTCAGCTGAAAAAGTTACGCGACGCCTACCAGAACGACATTTCGCACGCCCTTCGACAGACAGTTGTCAGGATCCTGCTGCCGTACCCGATGTCGCACAAAATATAGAAGTGGACACCGTGGAACCGTTACATGTGTCAAGGTCTACGAACACTGACATCGCTGTCGTAGAGAACACTGCTGATGTCTCCACTAACACGGACACCAATTTAAGCTCATTTTCTGTGTCGAGGTACATTAACGATCCCGATGGTATCCATAATTTTTCCGGGCTGGGAAATTATGACAAGTTTATATTTGTTTTTTCGACACTTGGAGAAACACCTCATTATCTTCAATACATGTATGGAAGAGTCAGTGATGACATTTCAGTGATCGATCGATTTTTTTTAGTTCTAATTAAGTTGCGTAAACATTATTCAAATTTTGAGTTGAGCAGAATGTTTCAAATATCAGAATCATCAGTGTATAACATATTTTGTACTTGGATTAGATTTCTTGCTTTACAATGGAAAGAAATTCCAACATGGAAAGAAATTCCAACATGGTGTTCCAGAGATTTGGTTAAGTTTTATTCTCCGTCTGATTTCAAAAGTAAGTTCAGCAACACACGCGTCATCATAGACGGAACTGAATGTCCCGTGAAAAAGCCAAAAAATCCAACAGCACAGCAGTCCACGTTCAGCACGTACAAAAACAGGAACACAGTGAAAGTGTTAGTTGGTGTGTCACCAGGGGGTCTATGTACCTACATGTCTGATTCTTATGGTGGGTCAACTAGTGACCGACAAATAGTTGAACGCTCTTCCCTCCCTCGCATGTGCGACCCCGGAGATTCCATCATGTCAGATAAGGGATTCGATGTGCAGGACATGTTCATTCCGACTCAAGTTGCCGTCAACATTCCGACATTTTTCTCGAAGAAAAATCGCATGAGCAGCAAAGTCGTGATGACAGATAGAAAGATTGCGTCTAAGCGTGTACACGTGGAAAGAATCATCAGACTAGCGAAGACGTACACTATCTTGAAAGCCCCACTCAATACCTCGGAAACGTTGCTGTCTTCTGATATCATTTTTGTTTGTTTCACATTGTGTAATTTTCGAAATGGAATTGTTCCATCCGACGCATGAATCATTAGTTTTCCTGGTATGATTGTGTATGCATCTATAGATTGTTGTATATTGTGAACATACATTGTACATTCTGTTCTTGTACATATGGTGAAAAGAAAAAAATTGCATGACTGCATATTTTGTTCAATGGTGTATATATTACTGTCAGAGTGGATGATGTAAACAGTTAGTATGATTTACAACATCTCATTAATATTAATGAGCGAGTGATTGTTTGCAACAAAAAACACTTAAAATAGAATGTGTATTTATCGGCTTAACAAAACATAATAATTATTCATATCAAAATAACAGATAATTCATACACCAATAAATACGTTTCAAAATGTGTATTTATCAGTTTCTCTGAACAATTTAGTGTACAGTAGCTCATATCTGAAGTAGTCATTATAAAATACAGTCAATTTCTCCAACATTGTTTTTATGAAAATGTCATCTCTGACAATTTCTATGACTTTCAAATCGACAAATGTATAAACAACAAAGTGACATTTTTTCCTGCCCGTACACAACAACTGTCCTTGTATCTGGTAATAATAATCATGTTTTGGATCTAGCATTAATTTTCCATTAACATTCTTCAAATATGGAACGGTGATTTCTGAAATGTGATGGTCTCTAGATGTGTAGGGACACTTGATTTCAAGAACTGTGTCGTTGTCCAGAATACGATCAGGGGAACTTGCAATAAAGTTATGATGCTTACACACAAATAGTCCACACGGAATTGTCTCCACATCATGGCGTTCCTCATACTGCGATGTGTTCGTACTTGCATCCATGTCGTGTTGGAGCTGAGTCAAACTTCACTGGCACCACAAAGGATTTAGCCAGCTTCCGCTTGTCTGTGCGCTCGGTCAGTTTACAGATACGTCCGAAATGCGACGAAGTTAGTCGTTTAGAGAATCTCATCTGTCCATCCAATCTTGTTGCCAATTTTTGTCCCGCCCCTGTCTGTCTGGTGGACTTTCAAATGTCCAAAGATTTATACTTCTTGTAAGCGTTGTGACGCGCAATAGATTTCGAGAAAGATTTCTTCTGGAGTGAAGTCTTCCAGGTCAGTCAA